CAGTCCACAGGCTGCACGTTCCAGAGGCTCCCTCCCAAGGCTCCCGCTGACGCAGGCAAGGCTGCGGTGCAGGAGTAGGCAGCGGAGCCACGGCGAAATTGGCCTCGGCAACTGTTTCACCCTGCGGTGTCCCGGGCGCCACCCCGCCTAGGCGTCAGCTAGGCCGGGGTCGGCGGATAAGGTCACTGTTAGTAATATTGGACTCGAAATGTCGTTTGGAATCCTGTTGTTTGCTTGGGCCATGACTCAACCCCACAGCTGGTAGGCATGCCCAGCTGGAGCAGAGCCAGATGGAAGGCACTAAGAAGCGGAATGATGAGGAAGTCGCGCCTTGGCCAGGTGAAAACCCTTCCCGTAGAAGTTGAAATCCACTTTTGTCAAGTTTGGTGCCACTTCATTGCCGAAACGTTGGTTTCGCCAGAATAGCCTTCGCAGACTACATCAGTCCACATAGCACCGCACAGCACCACGGTGATTGATCCTTTGGTTTCAAGTTTAAGCTGGGATACTGCATGTAGACACTTGATGTATGTTGATCCCTCAGACAAGCATGGAGAAATCCATAGAAATCCCTTGACCACCTGGACATCCGAAACACGAGAAACTGTGTAGGCAATAGTAGGGAATTACCCGCTTTCTGCCGGCTGCGGCTGTCAGAGGACATATCAAGACCACGAAAGGCCAGCAAATCTCTCCACAGCTGCACAATCGCCAGGAGAATGAGTGCTTCTGAATGACAGAATCACCGCCTTGAACGACCATGTTTGTTTCAAAGCAACACCACCAGACATTGCCAGTTGTTCTTCCTATTGCGTTGCCAACTGCTCCGATACCCCACTGCTTTTTGGCGGACGCCCGTCGCGTCGCCCCAGGCAGAGATGCAGAAGCGCTTGGTGACCCTGCGGGGCCAAGCGACGAGCCGGCGGAAGGCCGAACCCGGCGGGGGAACCGGGAAGCAGCCGGTGATCTCGGAAGTGGTGATTTCGAACACCAAATTTGAGACATGGTGTGTGTGTTGGTCACTTTTTGAATCAAACACATCTCAGCATTTTGATACATGTTGATGCACATTTTGATGCATGATGTGTGTGTTGGGTTGGTATTATTTGATTCCTTGTTGGTCCCTTTTGCTTCAGCATGGCACGCGATTGGTGCGGAACGGTCCACGTTCGGGTGGTCGGTGAGCCGGTGGTCGGATGTTTCAGGCGGTTGTATCGTCTATCGCCTGACAAACGGCGTGCCGACTTACATCCAAAGAGTCCAAGCCTGAAGCAAAAGATTTCATAAGTGTGTCATGATGTATCATGGTGCCTTGGACAGGAATCCAAACCCACACTCGATGCATGATTGATGATGATTGATGAACATTATAGACCTCATAGACTCATAGACCTCAGATATACTGTACACTTGCAACTGATGAGGCTAAATTAAGATCCAAGACTTGCCTTTTTTCCCAACACCCATGATGAGTACCGTAGAACACCACGGAGGGAAGAAGGCCTTGAACGCTAGCCGAATTGCAGGATGTCACTGAAGTGGCTGCCAACTTGGCGGCGGTGCGCCAGGCTCTGTCGTTTGATGTTGTCGGTGAGCACCGCTGGATGCAACATCTTCATTTGTTTGGCTCAGAGAGACAGAGAGAGAGAGAGAGAGAGCGAGCGCAATTGTTCTTATATAACTTGTTCTTTAGTGTTTCATTTGATGATACTCATTCAACAAAATCCAAACAAGAATCCTATATTAATCTTAATTATATACTGTATCGAATTGTAATTGGTCAGTTATGAACGAGCCATGTGGGCAAGTATCAGGTGCCCGCATGGTTTGGACACCCAATACACCCATCAGGTGGCTCGGTGGTTCAAGGCCCAACTCCTGACGAGGTGATCTCCAAGTCGGAGGCAGAAACTCGGACCTGAAGAATGCCTTGCTGGGTGCGGCCGGTGGAGCTGGGGGCTGTGGTTTTGAGGTCGGGAAAGCTCAAAGCTATTGTGGTGGAGCTCATGCACCTCACATACCCATGGATGAAGGTGGCACTTGGAAGTATAGAAGCAACTTGCTGACGTTGACTTAGATTTCTTGGAACATTTATATAATTATGACCAACTGGTATGACTCATGTGTGAGTTTCCTCCTTGATGTCAGCTCAAAGCGAAGGACAAGGAGTAAATTACACAAGTTCACCGGGGAATGGTGGTGCCACCCACCTTTGGCCAAGGCATTTTCCTCGGCTTTTCCTCATACAAAAGAAACGCACGACTTGCTGATGCCCCATCAGGTGCTCGGACATGACCAGAAGAAGCGCAGTTTTCTGGGAAGATGTTTCGCGTCAGCTTATTTGCAGTCCAGCCGATGAAAGGGCAGTGGAAGTTTGTGGACTCCCCATTTGCTGGTGCTCAGGGGTTGGCTACCTGGTTTGGCTACCTGGGTATCCAACCCTCACAGAGACCATGATCCATGGAACAGGGATTTGGTGGTTTTTCAAGGGACGCAAAGGGAAACCCCTCCAGTTTCCAGCCCATTGATGTCAGCCTTTGAGGCATCCTCACTGCTTCGAGAACAGCAGCCCCTTCGGCACGCGTGAAACAAGGGAGGGACGTTGCCCACGTCGCTGTATTCCTGGGCGACAATATTTGTGGGTGACTGATCTAGATGGGCCACAATCAACCCATGGTATGACGAGATAAGCAGGACAGGAGACCCACCTACAATTATCTCACTTGATTTTTTGGTCTCAATAAAAAAGTGTTTTGTTCAAAAAAACTGGAGATATGAGGCCCTCACCAAAAGGATACTAAGACTTGTTTGATTGAAATCCGTCCAGAAACCTACTGAAGGAAAACGGTGCCTCCCCTCCAAGCTCGAGTGTATGTAAAGCTGTCCAAAGCTATGAGAAGCAATGGGACGGTGGCATGAGGTCACACGAGGGAGCTTTGAGAGCCGCACCACAAATATTTGAGGGCATACCAGAGATGAGAAATGCCCATTAACTAAGACTTTAACTACTTAACACTGGTGACCTACTTAAGACAGGAAACTCTGAAGTAGACTTAAAGAGTTATAAGTTATATAACTATGGCTATGGTGACTGGTGACTTAAGACCGATGGGTGACTTTAGTAAGACTATGGATTGCAAGGTCCACTTTGATCCAGGATATGCAAAAGAGGTTCTTGTGACTTGGCCAGTTGAGACGCTTGGCAACTGATCAGCCGTGGGTTTAGTCGGAGGATCCTTTTTGACTTGTTGGATCATTCGAAGACACATACCCACCTAGTCTTGGTACTCTTGGGGTTTGGAGAGTTTAAGTAGCCACGTCCTATGGACTTAAGCAGTCCCATCCTTGTCGCACGCCCCATCCATGGTTTCTTTCTTCACCTCAGGTTGCAGCGCAAGGCACGCGAGGATCGAGCTGCGTGGGCTGCAGCTGAAGCAACCTCTGCTGCGGAGGACCGCCGTTTGGGAGGAGAGAGAGGTTTGTTTGGGTACTGTCGAGACGAGAGGTTGGATAGGGACATGCAGGAGTCCTTCTTTGCAACACTTGGGACTTGGGTCCATTCGTTGCTGGCTGCCGGCGGGCACAAATAGCGCCATGCCCTCCAAGATGCATTTACACATTCGTTTGGTGTTGACAAGCAAGAACTGCCGCAGATATTGCTGACACTGACGATTACACTGACAATTTGTTTTCCAAGTTGAGGAGGTTGATTCATAGCCTTTCCGCAAGGAGTTGCAGAGGCTCGAGCAGCAGTTGGAGCGTTGCACTGCCCAGCGGGAAGAGCAGCTGCAAGAGGAGGCGGATTTCTCCAAGTGAGCACAGATGATCAAGACCTGTTGAAGGGATCATGGAACACTCAGCGAACCGCGCGCCATGGTTCCTGAACTCCCCAGCAGGAATGGCAAACCTTAGTTGGGTCCTATATATATATTTATATATATATATAGGGGTGTTAGTGTTTATGTCGGTCACGACTCAAGAAGCTTGCTTCTGGTGCTTTGGTGCCACTTTTTCTCACTGGCTCCACTCACTCTGTTGGGCTCCGTTCACTGGTCGTTTGCTGCTGCTCCGGTTCGGTTTGTATCGATCCAGGATGTGCAAGAGCTGAGAGTGCGGCTCGTTCTCAATTGCGTCGGTAGGTTTTGTGCACTTCTGGGGTGGACTCGACCTTGAGAAAGGGTCCATATTGGCGTGAGAAAGCTGATAGTTATGGGACCTCTTCAAAGGTTGTTGCCTGCGGGTCGTGGATGGAGTGCTTCAGGAGGTGACTCGAGAAAGGTCCATTTGGTGAGAAATCTGATAGAAAGACCTTTTCAAAGGTCTATGGTGATGATATAGAAAGGTTCTGGTTGTTTTCAACTGGTCCGTTTGGCTTGAGAACCAGATCGCGATAGCGAGACAAAAAGAAAGTGGTTCACTTGTGCAAAAAATGCACCGCGGGTGTGCCAATCGATGCTTGCAGTGGTGCTGGACCTTTGTTGTTGGGGAAGAACTTTTGGTCATTCCGTGACTCGTGGCACGGCTGAGCTTCAGAAAGGGTGTCCGACAGTGGAAGAACCTGCAGTGCCAGAACCTGGCTTTTGAGCCCTCCATGCTGGTGGCAAGTATCCTTCGTCCAGCCCAGAACATCCTACAACTCCTTAGTCATGAGCACCATGGTCATGAACTAACCAACCGCAAGAATCTACTAACCGACAGCCAACAGCCTTTTGTACGCCCTGCGCAGGAACGGAACAAAACTGTTCTGTGCATCCGAGGCAGGAGCTTCAAAAGCAAGAACTCCTTGAGCAGCAGCAGAGGGAGGAGCTGGCTGGGCACCAGCGTTTGGTGGGTCTAAAGATGTTTGGAGAACTACTGGCAGTTGCAACTTCAATGGGCGACTCACTCTGTGCGACATGATTCGACTAGTTGCCACGATCTCACCACATCCATGTGCAGCGAAATAAGCATTCCGCCCGGTGTCCGTGGTTCTCGGGTCCTGAGCAGTGAGGAGTGTGAAGAGGCCACGAGCTTGAAGCAGGAGGAGTTGTTCCAGCACCAAAGACGTGTGGAACAGCAGCGCCAGGCAGGTGGAGGGAGTCCCTCCCCAAAACCCGATGGCACCACCGGACCACCTGGTTGTTCTTCGGAAAACGGTGATATAGTTTTCTTTTGGGGGGGGGGGGCGCGCCAGGCCATCCACTTCCTAATCATTTTCAGGAATATTAAACCGGTCCGTGTTTCGTGGAGTAATGGTGGTGAAGGTGAAAGTGTGATAAATGATTGGGTGGTGGAGAGCGATTTGAAGGGGAGAGTTGCTTTGGAAGGCGGCATGTTTTGACCAAATATATATAATCTCAGGAACATTGTTGGTTGGGATATGATACGTGGGATTATATATTATGTTGCAATGTTCATTCAGCCGTAGGGACCTGCTATGCTGCAAAGACTTTTTGTTGATATTTGGCTTGAAAGTCAGGTCCGGATCCAACCATGTTCAAACGCTTGAAGGTACAGGTGTTTGACACCATTTGCCAAAGCCATCAGGTTTTAGAAGATCTGAAGCAGCGGAGCCCTGCCAGCCCTGCAAGCCCTGCCAGCTCTCGGTTGGATGCAGGTGGGCAGCAAAGACAAGTAAAGTTGCTCCCCCCTCATTCCCCCTCCAACAAACATTGGAAGTGGATTGCCGGGCCCTTTGGAAAACATTGGGAAACAATGTTTCATCATATTCCACTACAAACAGCTGGTGCCATCATCCACTTCCACGACTGTTGGAGGGTAAGTCACCTGGACGCTCTAAGCACAAAAACATGAGAATTTATCGGGGTCCATGGTACTTTCGAAGCACCATCTGTTGCAGGTTTGGGAAGAATCCGCATCCCTCGGATCCATGAGGATCCGCATCCCTCGGATCCAAGGGGAAAACCTCCTAGAACCAATACTCGTCTCGGATGTGCGGAGGCCCTATGCCTAGAGTACAAAATAATGCAAACATCCCAATTCGCTTGATCATCCTCCAAGGTGAAAAGCAAAAACCACCTCCCGCAGCATCAAAAGGCCCCCAGACGGCACCTCGCCGTACCTCGTCACCGATGCACTCCAGGTGAGAGCCTGGAGCCACCCGACGTGCCGGACGAGTCGCCTGGACGAGTCGCGACGAGTCGCACCAAGCACGTTTGGAAGAACCAAGCATTCGTTCCGGCGATCGAGTTGTTTGGGTTGGTTCAAAAAAGGTGAATGGGTGCGAATTGTATGGAATTATGATTTTTGAGATTTAGATGGATCTAGATCTCTTGGGACTTCCGGCTGAAGGCCTGGCCACTTGCTGTTCCAATTTGTTCAAAACGAAAGATGCTTCACGACACCCCGTGATGCTCCACGGCCCTTGAACCAGAAGTTCTCATGTTCTGCAACGTCTTGCTGCGGGGAGTTGGGCCAGCTGGAGGCCAGCTGCATGGTAGGGTCAATCACTCTCGACTCTGGGGCTCTCAGGTTAGATGAGGTCTTAGAGGCCCAGGCTGGGGCCTGATAGAAAAATAGCCGCCCAGGAACAGATGGGTGCAGACAGGAAGTGTTCATGTTCAAGACCTGGAAAGAGGATGAAAGAGGTACAGCTGGCCAAAGCGGCTGACAGTGGTGGCAATTTGATGGTAGCCTTGGGCTTACAAATTGTGATGGTCTTTGCGGCATTCTTGTGGAAACCCTATGCAATTTCCAATTAACAGGCTCTACGTACATCTCCGGCACATGTTTAGTGCCGTTTTTTTCGAGCTTTGATTGCTAGCATCGGTCGTAAACTGAACCTGTTTGTTTTTGTATGTTTCTGATGCAAGGACCTGCACGTGTCCATTGATGTGGTTTTAGTTTTTGTTTGAAACAGGACACTGCGACCCCTCAGACTGGGAATCTGCGTTGTTTTTAATGAGTTGCCTTGAATTGCGCATGTGACGTTTCAACCTAGGTGCTGTGCTTTGACATTGGTTTGGTTACCATACAGCCCTATAGTGTTTTGTGTTGGTGTTGTTGTTGTTATTATTGTTCTTCTTCTTTGTCAGTGTTGTCACACCCCGAAAAGCCGGGGCGAGCAAATCCGAGCGCATTTCTTTGCAACACATCGAACGACCATGGTATCCTGTCAAGACACGACTTGGGGCCCTGTGGGAACACACAGAAAGCTGTCGAAGCCGTTCTGGATTTGGAACGTTTTTCCTCAAAACACCACGCGACGGTTGTGAGCTACAGATCCTTTGCAAAGAAGCGTCAGTTCACGGCCTCAGCTGTTATTTTCGTCCACGTCCACGTCCGCCTGCTCTGCCGCAGGCGGCACCCAGCTTGTCCCCAGAGCAGGCCGGTACAGCGGCTGCTGCAGCACAGAGGGCACAAGGGGCTTCACTCGAGGAGGGTGGGAGATGGACCTGGTCACTTGCTTGGTTTTGCTGAGGGTGATGTTTATTTTCCCTATGGGTGTATTTATTCTGAGTTGTTGTTATTTGTTCTCAGTTCCCCAAGCAAATCCAAGCTTATGTCCATACGTCTCCTTGCGCCCAGCGTCTCAAGCGTCTCAAGAGTTGTGATACTGATGTCAATACATCTAATCCACCCAATATCCAGAAGTGCCAGCATTTCAACATCATGTGATTCAGACCAGAGCGTTTTTTCTGCTAGGAGCAATGCCAAGCCGCCGCAGATGCCGCGCACAGCGCGGCAGAACGCCGTGGCGCAGCCCCGCCGGTTGCTGCCGCTGCTGCTGCAGCAGCTGCGGGGGCGGCAGCGGCCACAGCCAAGCGTGCGGAGAAGAAGGATGCTGAAGAGCAGGATGGGTGAGGGATTCAACTTTGACGTGATGAACAATCTGAGCATAAGACAGCGGACAAAACCGCCGGACATGTACTTAGTCATGAGCATCAGCGGGCCGCCTTAAGTATTTCTGAATTTCTGAACTGATCAAGACAGATAGTACTGGTTGGTTGGAGAGGCCTTTTGCCTGAACTTCCTGATTTGCTCCTTGTCTATTTCCTTGGGCCTCCTAGCAACTTCCTCTAGCCCTGTCACTGGGAAATGAAATCTCCTCGCAAACTGCGGGGAGTTGCGGTGTTGCAATCCACTTTCGATGATTCCTGACAGAAAGTATACAGAGGCCCGCTTTCCACCCACCCCAGAGCATCCTTCATACTTACAAAGCAGGCTGCAGTGAATCAAGCATCATCAAGCTATGAGTTAGTGCGGATGTGCTGAGCCTGAAGCTGTTTCTTAAAGGTTCCTGATAGAGATACAAGTTCACAAGTTCACCAACACCTCCATTTAAACTGTATCCCTCTGAAGTTGAAGGGTTTTCATGATTTGGTGGCTCTTCTTGGGCTTCCCACAGGTCCAGGCTGCTCGCACGGCCGCCGCAGCCGCGGCCCGTGCACATGGCGGAGATGAGGTGCTGCTCTCCGCCGCCGCTGCTGGGGCTGCTGCGGCGGCTGCAGCGCGGAGCGCCAAGAAGCAGCTTGGAGTGGAAATTCTGGGGTTGGTAGCTAGTTTGGTGGGAACCTAGGATCCATAGGAGAACACCTGTCTATATAGTACCTGTCTATTATTGGACATCGATTGTCTCTTGCGTTTGGTGCTTTGGATGCTTTTCTTGTTGAGCGGCCCCCCCGGCATAGCGCCACATCGCATTTGGTGCCGACGCCGTCGCCTCCAGGCCTTTGCAGTTGCAGGCGCAAGCGGCTGCCACAGCCGCTGCCGACGCCGCACATGCCGCGTCGCCGGCGGACCGGGGGCGTGCGGCGGCAGGCAGGTGAGACTGCTCTTTGCACACAAACATCGCGCGCAAGCAATGACAGAACAGTAATACGGATGAGGCGTACTGTGTACATGGATAAGGATTATTTTTGTTGGCAGTGTTTCTTAGGTCTTGATTTGCTGTGTTTATTTGTGGGTTAGAGGGAGATTGAAATAAAGCTTGGAACTTTTGGTAGTTTAAACGTATATATACTCTATATAGCACCTTTTGAATCGTGCAACATGCACAAATGATTACAATTGTCTTGTAACATGATGTACAATGATAATTCCCATGTACGACAGTTCTTACCACTGTAAAATTGTTCTTCCTGGGCATCCCACTATATAGTGTTTTTTCTTGCTGTTCTTCCGGCAGATGCTGCGGCCTCAGCTGCGCTGGTGGGGGCGAAGATCGCGGGGAAGTCCAAGAAGGCAGATGTCCAGCATCGATGATGTGGTCCAAGGGTGAAGAGTCATGGTGTCCTACCCAGGCAGTGTGTGGATCACCTGGTTTGGGGAGGAGGTATTGGTTTCGCCCCTCCAATCCAACAGGTGGAAAAGGGTTCAAGTGACCTTGTTTTTATAGATTTATATTTACAGCCTTCGGCATGCCGCCGGCCACCAGCTCGAGCCCGCATTGGCAGGCAGCCTAATGATGCTTATTAACAGTGTTCCACAGTTCGAAGCAGATTCTGATTCTCCACCTAAGAGGGGGGGGGGACGGGAGGGAGGGGGGCAGGGCAGGCTGTCGTGTGGGATGCGTTTGGATTTGTTACATCAAGGGTTTGGGTTGCTTGGAAATCATTAAAAGGCTTGGTTATGCTTCAAGGGATCCCCTCACAATGTATGAGCCAAGTATCCTTGGAATCGCTCTGAGGGTTGTCCTTTTATCCCAGACAACGTGACCTGTAGAAATGGGTTCCTTTTGAGTTTGGGGGTTGTGTCCATGACTTAGTTTGTTAGATAAGCTGATAAGCTGTCATGTTTCGCATGTATATGGTCTATAGGGATGTCTATGGTTTCAAGTCGGCATTTCACTGCGGGACTCTTCCGCACCACAGAGCGTCAGGAGCAGGTTCAGCTGAGCGCTTCCTCAGCCCTGGCAGCCGCGGAAGCCGCAGGTGATATTGCTTCCGGTCGGTCGGCTTCCTGGTGTCAGGTGAAATCAACACTACTATGGCTGATATAGAATGGCAGACATTTGTTCCAGTCCTTAGGTCCTTGCAATAGCAATTGCAGAAAATGTAATTAAGTGGATGCTGGTAAAACGCCCGGAGCTATTGGTCTAAAGCCATTGTGGCTGTCCATGCAACCAAACCAGAGTTTTTGGCAGAGTAACCCTTGTAACCATTTCTATTGCAATGGCTTGGAAGATATGGGTGTGTATTGACAATAGGCAGACCTCCAAAAAAACATCCTGGAAGAAGGGAAATAGGCCAGTCTACCCATTGGTTGGAGGTCCGGTCTCGCCTTTTTTCAAATGCACATTCAAATCTTTCAAGCCGAAGAAACAGGAACTTGTTACGTGTGCCAAGGTGCTTCCGCACCAAGTTTGCTCGGGTCCAAACGTGGTCCAGATGCCGTTTCCACATGGAACGACTTGTTACTGCCCTGCAGAGGGCCACATGGAACCCCAAAAACCACTGGGCTGGTATTCGGAGAATGGTCGAAACCACCGGTCTTTCTTCTTAGGTTCCATGGGATCGTTTCCGCGAGGGTCGGTGGAATCTTTGGCTCCAGCTTTCACGCAGTTCTTCTGCAAGTGGAAGAAACATAGGCATAGCATGCAAAAAACAGAAACGCTTGTTTTTTGGTTGCGATGGCCTCCAACCTACAAACGCGATGGCCTCCTTTTCAGCCGACCTGCCAGCGGTTTCTTCATCCTTCTTGCTATGCTGCAGGCATGAAATCGCGATCTCCCGAGCTGGACCGGGCGGTGCGGGCGGCCGCAGAGAAGGCCGCGTCCAGCTGTGGATGGCCAAACGACAAGGCTGGACATGGGTTCGGGTTGGGCCACTGGAACTGGGTGTTTGTTGGGTTTTGGGATATGCGATGTGGTAGTTTCTTTGGTTGGGGAGGGAAGGATCTTCATCATGAGAATCAAGCATGCAAGCTTTTCTCTTTTGTAGGCACTGTTGCCGTGTATCAATATACTGTAAGTTGTTTGTAACACCCAAGGGCACAAGATAAGCTTAAGTGTTGCAACGGAATCAGACGGAAAGCTGTGGATATCCACTTGGCAGCCGGAGATAAACCAGAAGCCTGGCCCATCACAACCAATGGCAAAGCCTCGAAGGTAGCTAGCTTTTCACTTGGCAGGCTTGCAGGTGTTTCTCAGGGCGGGGCCACCCATATTTTGAGACACTACACACATGCTCGCCTGAGCATAACAATGCCAAATGGCCGGCCCTCGTAGACATGTTGGTGTCTTTTCATTTCAAAACCACTTCCGCACATGTTAGACATATGACATAAATTGACATAATATGACATATGCATGATGGTAGAATTCATTAACTACTCCTAGTTGCTATCAACTAGTCCAGTTGTACTCAGTTGCTACTCATCCGTTGCTTCGTTTCCGTTTCCGAATCTCCACCGGTCGGATCCCTCCGATCATCGATCGCCAGGCTCAGCAGATCGCCTCCGAGGTCTTGGGCACCGATCGCCAGGAGCGGTGAAAACACCAGTGAAACCCACCGGGCGGTGGAGAAAGGATAGGAAAAACGCCCCAGATGGGGTGTGGAGGGGGATGGAGGGCAATGATGGGGTGTGGAGGGCAATGATGGAGCGGCCCAGATGGGTGGGATTTCAGCGGCCCTGGGGCCAAGGGGTTGTGTATGTTGATTTCTTCCGGGAGCTTTGCCTATTAAGATCGCCTGGAATCAAGATGGACCGCAACATGCAAACTATTCGCGGCAAAAGGAAGCACTGTAGCGTCTTGCAGGACTTTGGAGTTTGTGTTGGCCTTCGTTAGCACAAGCTGGGATCCTTTGGGACTAGCTCTGCCTTTTGGGACCCTGGGAACCCCCTCTTCAGTCTTTGGGGCGAAGTGCAAGCAAAGGCAGCAAAGGCACTCCAAGATTTCCAGGGTCAGACATTTACAGGCTACTGCTGTTTAATTGTGTACTGGCCACAATTCGTGCGGTATGGAGAGACTCTTGTACCGCCTGAGAGGGAGAGGGAGAGAGCTGATGTTGTAGTTTGAACTGTGTCACCAGAGCGGAGAGGAAGCCGGAGAAGCCAAGGGCAAGGCATCGAGATGAGGAATGGGATAGACTTGTGGTGATTCTTTATGCCTGCATGTTTTCTTCCCTGGACCTGCTTTGCATTGGTCTTGTTGAGTACCCTCAAGCCTTTGAGCTGCCTGCAAGACACTACATGTTGGAGTAATTAAGCATAGACAGACATCGGCTTCTACTGTGTAGATCTAGCCCGTTGAGCCATGATCAAGACGAACATTATTGTAGTGTCCAGGGTTGGAGTCCAGATTTGGACTCAGAGGAAAAGGATTTGTAATCCGATCGTCCGAAGTCAATCAATTCCCAATTTTAGCAACAGTTGATCAGCTAAACTTGACTACCCTGATGGCATGAAGAAAACATGACATCCATGGCTCCCCTTGCCACAGAAGAATACCAATAAATGTGTTGTTACCTGTCAATGTTATTGTTTTTCTATTTGTACTGCTCTAGTATTGTGAACCCCTGAGAAGCCTGAGAACAAAAATGAGCTATCTAGTGTGTTTATATATATATATATAGAGTAGAGATTTGTTGTTTCTTCTTGTCAGGGCATGTTATAGAGAAGTCCTGTTTTGGCCGAAAGGTGCATCGCTGTGCTTCAGGTGGTGCTGAAGAAGCTCCGGCAGCAGCTGGCGGAGCAAGAACGAAAGCTCAGGCGCCGGAGCTGGGAGTTTGCCCGAGGGGTTCATGACAAGCCCGGTGGATCTCAGGTAGCCGCTGCAGCCGTGTTTTTTTGGTTTTCGGTCGGTCTATGGTTTGCGCGTCTTTGGAACCGCTGATGACGCTTCCCTGAACTCTGGCAAGGGATTGAGACATGTATGATGCATTCCTTGGAGATGAATTGTCACAGGGCGGCAGTTACAAGTTGCTGGCATCAAAGGTGGCTTGACTTGCTGATCCACACTTCAACTATTATACTTCAAAAACAGATGATGTCAGAGTCACAGCTTTTAGAAGGCATGGGTTGGGGAGCTGATCATCCTGTTAAGCTCGCTTTGGCACCCGAACCGAAGAGCGTAGAATATGTAATATGTCTGTCACCTCCCACCTCCCACCCAGAGGGAGGGGTTCTCCCGGTGGGCATAGCTGCTTAGCTACAGCTACGCCCCCCAGCTCCACCGGGACCTTTGCGGCTCTGGGGCGACCTCGAAGCCATTCGGTCTTCCACCGCGCCAACGAGGCAGTGGGAGGCAGCGCAGCTGGAGCGGCGTCGGGCCATGGGGCAGGAAACGCAGCCGCTGGGGGCGAAGAATAGCGGGGGGGATGTATAGCGTTTGGAGGATCGGTTAGAATCCCTCTCTCTCTCTCTCCAACAATCATGGAAGTAGAATTCGGTGTGGGATGAGTTCCGATTTAGTAGCTAGCCTGGCTCAAACAAGGCAGGTCAATCGAAGCTTGGGGCGTTGAGGAGGGTGGTGGAGCTCCAAAACCAGCAGTCATCGGCCATCAGGTTTTTTGTTTCAATAGGTTCTCCTGGCCACACGTCAGGCTCACAGAAGCGCAATGGACCTAAGACCACATTCTTCAGTCTCATACTTGCACAACAGGGTAACACTCCTCGCCGACCCTTCCACATGTTTCTGGGGTTCAACTAAGACCGTTCTTTTCTGCACTCATGTCAGGTGCTTTGACCGACATGCCGAGACTCACCGACACACCGAGGCTCATCTCGGATAGCATCCGCGAGATTGGGATCCGCTGCCAGATGTTGGTCGGGAAGCATCGAGTCCTCTTGGACGACAGGCGCAGCGACGTGAGGTTGTGAAGACGGAGCTGTGGTACAAGTGATACTCACCAAGCGTATCGACCAAAAAGAGCCTATATAGGGTATGTCCCAGTATGTCCCAGTAAACCAGTCGGTAACAGATTAGGAGTATCACTGTATGATCACTGTTCTTGAGAGAGGCAGGGAGAGGCCTTTACTAACCACCATCATCCAGTGTTACTGGTAATGGGATATACCGTTGATCTAATTGCTTGACTTTGGATTACACGAGCGAGCTAAACTCACAGCTGCAGAAGAACCTATATCCATTATCCATGTGGCAACAAGAATTCACACAGCTATAGATCAAGAAGATGAGGCGTAATTGCACAATGACCGGCAATTGTGACATTCTTAAACGCGTGATGGATCTTTGCATTGAAGTGCAGATTGCTGGGAATGCCAGGAAGCGCTTGGAGGCTGAGGCTTGAGGCCCGGTCGCGTGAGGAAAGAGGGAGGGTTATCATGGAGGTGATGTTTATTTGACTAGGTGAACTGGGCTATGTCGAGTTTGTGGTAGGTTTGGCGTTTTGTGTTGCCTCAGAGCTTCAGAATCTTTAGAAGATATGGGCAGAAGAATTCTTCCCCAGTGAGAGTGAGCGTATGACCTCAATTCTAGTGCAGCTAGGTGTTTTTCATACCCATCATTTGGTCCTCAATGCTTTGGCTGAGGCCCTGTTGCAAAGCACAGGCGCCCGGTCAGTGACTTTGAGCCCCAAAAAGGTGCGTGAATGACGTACTGGATGACCTGTAAACGGATAGCTCAGAAGTTATTTTTCATGCTGTGCTTGCCCAACGATTTTGTGACTTTTGTCCCATTCTGCTCCATGAGACTTTGCGCTTGAAACGCAATTGTTTCGTGTAAGATCTGTGGTGAGCGCAGCTCCTCTTGCTTTGAGCCTTTTTTTGTTTGCGGAGTTTGTGCGAAAGAAAGGGTTGGACGCTGATGAAGCTTGCCAATCGCACAAGCCAGCTGAAGACATGTACTAGTGACGTCTTGACCAACCTTGAGCTCCCACGACACACATATATTTAATATATATATATATATACTGTATATATCATATAGAGCAGCAGCAGCAGCAGCAGTAGCAGCAATAGTAGCAATAACAATAGGGATGGTGCCGTGCAGCGGTCTGTGAAGACAGATCTTGAGTTCCAAGCTCAAGAAGCGAGTTTGGTGAATTTGGTTGACAAACTTTGAGCATCGTTTGTTATAGAGCTGCCAACTCCAGGTGTACCATGTTCAGTATAGGAACCGCACGCTTCGACACACAAACAAGTGTCCAACTTAACCAATGCTTTGCTCAACGTGTGAAGCTGGGTGGTTGCTGTGATCTGGTTCCATCCACTATGGACGCTATGTGGCCGCGCTGGCTGCTGACGATCCTGGCCCTTTGGACGTTCCCACAAGTGGCAGCGTTGCCGGAGCTGGCCATGGTGGGCTTGGGCACGGCGGGCATCAAAAAGGCCATGTTGATTTGCAATTGGGAAGGGGGGGGTCGGTTTGCCTCAGATCGTTTTACCCCTATTAGCTTAGCCTTTGTTTTGGATGCGTTCGAGCGTCAAAGAGCTATCAAAGCTGTGAAAGCATGTCAAGAGGTAGAAGCTCGCAACTGCAGGAGCTTCAGAAGTTCACACATTCCTTGAACTATGATTCCACCAAGATAGCGTTCTGGGAGACGTCCGACCTTTTCACCTGACCGGTTCCCCCCCCCACGGACCTCTCCCGGACCTCCGGATTCGAGGTGTCCACCATGGTGGAGGCCATCCAAATGGGCTACCGGACCTTGGACACCGCCTTAATATACCAGCCCCTCGGCAGGATGTCAGCTGAAGGCTATCAACAAAGACTCAGTGGGAAGAACATGGAAGAACAGGATCTTTGGGTGTTTCTTGGATGGATTTGAGTTGGTGAATAGTGAACGATCATAATCCCTGTTTGATCCTTTTTGTAAGCTTGATGCTTCAATGGCAGGGCGAAACACAAGGTGGTGTTTTCTTGGCCACAGAAAAAAGGGCACAAGGTCACAAGGCCAGAAAACGAATTCAATTGAATTCAATTGCCCCTTTGATCCTTCCCTGTCAGCCAGACGCCACGGATGTCGTTTCCGTCGAGGAATCATGCGATGGTCCGACAAGCGATGGAAGAGAGCCACGTGCCGCGGGAGGAGCGAGATGGAGGGATGGAATTGACGTCAAAGTCCTACTCCCAGACACTTCGTGTTTGGTCGATTGTTGTTTCCATACGTGGAGTCACGTGGAGTGTTGGATATTTGCAGAAACGCATGACAGACTCCTCCCAATTCTGCCAATTTCCCATTGCAGTCGATACCTAGGCATCATCAGAATGATTGAATGGAATGGGGTAGCTCAAGCACATTTCCCATGGCAAATGACGTCCGAGCTGTTTTTGGGGTTTTACCTTGGGTTCTGCAGCTCAGCGGCACCACGTCGGTCCCAGGCCCGTGACGTCGGTCTCGACGTTTGTGACGTCGGTGACGAGACCGGCGGCACGTGGTGGTTGAGGAGATCTTCCTCACGTCCAAGGTGAGCTTCTTTCCCTCCTCCCTGGAGCTTCCGAAGGACAGCTGACAAGGTCGATGCTAAGATGGATGCTAAGTTGACCTCTCATCTAACAAACTTGCCCATTGAAAGAACCTGTTGTTGCGTGTCAGAGCCCCTCTCATAAGACCACATCACTCGGTATGTTGCTACTCGACATGGGCCAAAGCTAAACAACCACTGCCGCAGGAGCACCAAAGCACCTTTGGCATGACAGAATCACCGCTCCCACCTGAGTTGACCTTCCACCCCTTCAATGTGAAGGGGAAGGAGATCGAGGCGCAGCGCGGAGTGGGTTGAGAGAGTCCCAGCGGGTGTGGGTCCCTTACTTAAAGTCTAGCAGACGTCTAGCACAGCCTCCACCTTGTGCAGGAATAGTATTTCTTCATCCCCTGCACTTATACATTAATATTGCAAATTATAGCAGTAGCAGATATTCAACGGCTATTCCGCTACATCCGCACTGGATGATTCCACAGCTGATCAGTTTCGCTTTTGCCTGGTACATTTGAAAGATGTTTCATCTATCAGTTGGTAGCTGGCGATCCCTTTATCCTCCACCTGGATCTTCTTAAGTTTTTATGCTGCAAGCCTAGTGGAATACCCAGTCAATGAACGGTCGTCACGGTCCTTGCACAGCGCTGGGCCCCCCCAATCAGTGACCAATCCTGCTTGTTCCTCGGTGTGTGTTCGTGTTTGTCCGTTGAGCGCAGGGAATTGAGCTGAGCCTGCAGGAGCTAGGCGTTGAGTGACTCTGCTTGTGAACTGTGCTATGCAAGAACTTTGGGGACGGAGTGGCATTTACAGTTGGGTTGGGGGATGTTGGGGGCCACTACCACATGGCTACGGCTATGACTGACAGACTGACTTTGCACTTGCATGTGGTTTGAGATGGTTTGAGAGGCTTGGTTTCGTAGCTTGAATATTCCCCCCCCATGGTGACCAACAGGTTGCGTTCACCAACACGGTGAGGGAAGCTATTTTGGTCACTTGCGATGAAAGAAAATCGGCCGCTTTATTATGCCGCTTTTGCTTTGCACCCAAATCTGTAGGTATTTGGATTTGTGCTTGATCCATGTGACTTTGGCAGCACTTCATGCGGGAAGGGAGCTGGTTGTTTCGATGTTTTTGGTCCGGTTGACAAATGGACTTGTTTGGGCACTGGAGTGGGCGATTTTGGGGACAGGGGTGGGCACCTTGGGACTCACATTCTTGCCAGGTAGAGCTGGTGCCAACTCCCCACTGAACAAGTGTCTAGAGTCAATGTGTCTAGAGTGTCACTGCATTTACCAGACCAATTTCTGAGAATAGTGCGAGTCAATGCTTCTGGGCCCGTTGAGTTAGACTGCAACATCAAGCATCTACAAACATCATCAAACATCTACTGCATTTGAACCCACAAATTGATTCAAAGAACATGCGTTCATCTCTCATCGTCACGCTGTCCCTCATCTCAGACCTTACCAGTCAGTGCCCCCAAAGAACCCAAGAGCGGGGCACTGCAGAAGCCATTGCTGACTGAGGCACCCTCCACCTCAGCACTGGCCGCTCGGACCCACGTGGTTCCACGATTCGATGGCGGCAGGGAGTGGTGGCGCCAGCGTTCCGTCGGGATCTCCCGTGCGCTGCGCTCGGATGGGGTTGCACGTGCTTGGGCAACCGAAAGCAGACATGTGTACCTGCGAGGTGTCCCAACACATCCGAAGGTCCTGCACTGCAAGTGTCGAACAGCAAATTGTTCGCACAAGCCTGGAATTTTTGCATATGTTTAGTACATATAGACGTTGAACAAACACACCGTCACGTCCTTCTTTCAGAATGCTGTTTTCATGCAAAAACCGCACTTGACTTTTTGGTTGGTCCCAAACGGAGGATGTTCAGGGTTCGCTTCGTTGGTCGCTCGCTCGCTTCGACTTTTGAGGAGCTTTGGGCCTCCTTTCTGCCGCACCTCTATGGCTATTGGCCCAAGATGCCCAGCTGGACCGAGCCCCTGGTCCTGGGCGCCACGCAAGCCCTCACCGCGCAGGAGCGGCGGAGCGGGGCGCGTAGGAAGAGGAGCCTGGTGGGGAGGCAGCATGGATGAGAGGAGGCGATTGATATCGAGTGATTCATGTGTTTTGAGGGGTTCGTTGTCAGTGCAGCCTGGACGTCTTTCTTGTTATTTTGTTGGACAAGCCCTGCCCTTTGAACTTTGCTGAACAGTTAGCATGAACTTTGTGGGTGCTTGGGCTCCGACCCCCATGGCTATGCCAGTCGCCCTGCAAATTCCAGTGCTTTGTGGCTACGGCTAAGCAGAGCTTGCTTTTGACCGGCACTCCACTGATGTTGTCCCGCAGGAGGTCGAGGCACGCAAGCGCGAGGCTTATCAGCAGCGAAAGAGGCACCAGTGCAAGCAGCTGCTGTAGCCAACCACAAGTAGATTGGAAGATATTGGAAGTAGAATAATGGGGGGGCAAGCATAAACAAAGAGGAAGATGATGGTAGTATTCGCAGCTTATGCTTTTCTGTCCAGGTGAGGCTGATGGTAGCAGGGCGGGCCAAGATTTTTCCCAACTTGGCAGGTTTGAAGATCAGCAGTTTACTGTCCACATCCAATGCTTTGAGCGTTTCTTTAGCACCATCTAAAAGCCTTAAGATGCTGAAACATGGCCATAGATGCCAGGTCTTGGCTGAATATGGAAGAGGCCAAACGTCGAGGTTTTTGCCGTCACATCGGCGTCAGCAATTATCCGGTTCAGTTCATGCAGGCGTGGAAGCGGCATCGGAACAGGGCTCGCCGGATTGGGAAGGTGTTCTTTTCTTCGATGCATGATGTGTTTTTTTATTGTTTCCGATCCACGCGAAGTAGTAAGCCATTTTCGTGATGAATAGTGGTCCTGGGGATTGGGTTTTCCAGATGTGAGATTCCAAAAGTTAGCTGGTGATTAAAGGAAAGAATAAACACATGTTTTGTGGGACGGCCGGACAGATGACGACGCGGATTTGCACCTGGTTAGGGCATTGGGCTGCGATGTTTTTTGCGCCACCTCTTGCGAGTGTGACTCCTTCCGCCTTACAGAAGTGTGACACCTAAACCAGCGCGTTCACGGGCAGGAGATTGAGGAGTATCAAACGGAGCCTATCTACAACGAGCAGCAGGAACTGCATCCTTTGGCCCAGTTTCGATGCGCGGCTGAGAAGGGACGGATGGACGGAGACTGAAGGCCAATGTGCAACATACTTATATATATATATACAATCCTGCACTGAGGGGAGGTATTGAGAAGTGTTGCATCAAGAAGCACAATGAAGTACAGATGGAAGTTGGATTTGCTGGTCCTCTCATAATGTTCATTTGATGAACCATGATAGACAACCGCTTCAGTTCAGTGACAGGCAAGCCGTTCTTTGGACGCCTCTTCGGCCCAACTTCGGAGCCGTTCGCATCGTTCGCATCGTTCGCCCGTCACGCTGGTCACAGGGTGCTGGGTGGAGCCCTTGTTGTTTGATTCAAGGAGATGTCCAGGAGTACACCAAGAAGGCCAAGATCTTCTTGACGGGATTTGGCACAGGCGCAGCTGTCGGGAACCATGTGACAGCCCAACCAAAACTCATCAAAATTTAAATTTCAACGATGGCTCTGAAGATTTCACCCAACCCTTCACAATTGGGATGTCAAACACACATGCTCAAAATTCAACAGTTTAGATGCTCACGACAGGGAAAGCAGACTGATTGAAACACCACCCAAAACCATGAATTAAAAAAAAGAACAGTCACTTCAATTGTGCCCTCCGTCCCCCCTTCAATCTCCAGAAACCAGCCCACTTCTCAATCCCCACATCGTCAGGCGTGGTGGCCGACACCCCAGCGGCTGAGCAGATCGCGCGGCGCATCGGCCGCTCGCCGGGGCAAGTGCTCCTGCGCTGGGCGGTGCAGCACCAGGTGCACGTGACACCGAAGTCCAACCAGGCACCGCAGGGAAGCGCAGGGAAGGACCCGCAGCGGAGCAAGGAGATGTGGTGAGAGGTGGTGAACTGGTCGATGTATTTTTTTTTTGGGGGGGGGGTGGTGCTGGGTTAGTACTGCCCTTGTTACTAGTAGTATTTAGTAGTACTGCCCTTGTTACTAGTAGCGATGCCCTTGTTACTAGTAGCTTCTAGCTACTAGGAAGCACCGTTGGGTTGGTTTTAAACACTTTTTGTTGCTGTTTGGTCGATGTGATATGTACAAGGCAAGTGGGGGCGGTTCACTGTAGGGTGGCTCGCATCAGCATCTTCTGGGATAAAAAATTGTGTGGGAAGCGTTGACAAATGCACAGCCCTTCAGTGGAAACCATTGCCTTCAAGAGACCCTTGGTCACGTTGGTTTTCTGCTTGCTGACTAGAGAGCCCAAGGAAACTGAACAAGCGCCCCCTACAGCAGATGGACCCGACACGCCTGAAGAAACTCTGACCCTTCAAACGTCAAACGCATTTGTGAGTAATATAATGGCTGCTTCCTAGGCATGGTGGCAGGAGTCACCAAGATCTACAACACACCATCTAAGCACCTGCATGTGTTGGGCTTCCCCACGCCAGCTGGCACGGCTCCGGGAGAACTTGGAGGTCTTGGACTTCGAGCTCAGTGATGCGGACCGTGCGAATCGTTGGGGCAGGGATGCATGGACTAAGTGGAATCTCAGGGATGAATGGCAAACTGTAGGACTGTATCATAGCGCGACGCGAGCTCGAGTCTGACATTGCCCATGTTGGGCAGTGAATGGTTTGCAGAACCACTCCTCTAGAAGGTCTTTTATTTGGAGGGGTCGGAAGGCTTCTTTATAATCAAGAAGACATACACTCCAAGAAAAACTATCGTCGAAGTGGATAGCACCACGTGTGTATAGAGGAAGGTATAGTCTTCCCAAAGGGAATTGTCCACTTCCATGTTAGCGAGCCGGGGTGTAGGCTCATAGGCTCCCCCCAACCGTATGTTTGACCGTTTGCAAGCATGTTCATGCACTGGACCGTGTCCATTTGTTCAGTAGGCTGCATATGCTTTATTGGAATGACTCGCTACCAACAGCTGTTTTTTTCGCTCTGCAACGTAGGTTTGGCCAGATCCCCTTGGTTATGTTCTGCAAAGGAACATAGTAAAAGCACTCCATGAATAGCTGTCAATGGATACATGTATTGAGCTGGGTGTTTTCTTTGTATATCATCCGGCCCATGTGGCACACATACCTGACCAAGCCCGTTAGTGATGTCTCTATCATCCACCAGAGGTCTTATACAAATTCAGGAATTGACACTATTGGAGATTAAGTCTTGCAACGCTTGGCAGTTCTTCAAAGCACTGCTCCAGCTCATTCAATGCACCCTCGTTTTGCATGACTCATGTTTAGTTCCTGTTGCTTCACCTTGGAGGTGGTCACCTGTTGCATGCGCTTTTCACTGTGTAGCAGAGGTCATGTATGGTCATAATGCATCATGGATGAATCTTCAAAACATACTTCGCGCACGGATTCGCTCCGGTCCACCAACACCACCATTCCTGGGGCTTCGGAGGACATGGCGACCTTAGATGCCTTGGATGCCTCGAAAGTCTTCTACTGGAACACCAGCATCTTAGTGCCCAAGGCTTGGCATATGCATGGCAAGGAGAACAACCCACTTTGCAGGATGTAGAAATGAGCCAGATCCCCTTCATCTAAGTTGGTGACTCACAATTTGTGAATGTAAAGAATGCAACATTGATAGTCAGCATCCATTCAACACAGTTTCATTGCTCCAATATGTTCAGATCGCACATGCAAAAAGTGCCAATTGACATGCATGCTCAAAGAATCGTTCTTGAGTCAACTTGAGTAAGTACCTCATGGACTGATCATCACTCATCCAGAGCTGCAAGGGCGTTCGCTGCAAGGGCGTTCTCTTCAAGGATCAACACATGCATTTGGCAGGGACTTAAACGGGGAATATTGTCACAGGTGGAGAGCAAATGTGTGTTTACGTATCCCACAAAATGAAACAATAATGGAAGTGGATGGCATGGCCAAAATGATTACCCTTTTCCAAAACCAAACAGCTGATGGTTTTCCACTAGCCCGTATGATATATTTGGTACTAGATTGCAATTCAACTGGCACCGGCACTGGATTGCAGTTCAACTGATACTTTTGCATTTCAACTAGAGACTTTTGCAGCTGTCATCTTAGTGGTCCTGATGGATGTCTTTATTGCGAAGTACCCTACAGTGCCAGCTGAACATCAATCATCCAAGTTAAAGACCTTAAAAGGGACGGCAAAAGTAAGTAGCATCCGTTGTTTTGTCAGCAAGCTACGTCGGTGCAACCCGTTGCGGAAGCTACGTCGGTGCCGCACAACGCCGCCGCCGGACGTCGCCGGTCGCTGCTTCCAGGCTGACCGGAAGCTGCGAGACGACCTGTGAGCCGAACAGCGGCTCGCGGGGGAACGGAACGGAATCGGACCGTTTTCTTAGACGTGGATGAAAAAACAATTGTTAAGCCATTTATGGACGATAAGCTATTTTCTTGTTTAGAATTCGATAAGCCATTTATGGACTCTTGAAGGCACCCTGTAGGTGGATGGGGTGGCCGGTGGGTCGGGGCGGGTCGGAGGACTCGGAGGACTCGGGCACCGATGCATCAGACTTTTAGCATATCTTTTTAACTATGTTCACTTGAGGGAAGGGCCTTTTGGGATTTGACATGGTTAGACTTGCTTGATTCTTACATGCTGGAAGGAGGTAGAACGTGGGTCGATTTGACCAGCAGACTCCCAACATCATCGGTTCTCAAAAGCCAAGGCCCATCGAGGGGCCCCCATACATGCATAGATGATTGCAGGGAACCCATCTAGCTCCACACCACTTTTCGGACACTGGCGCATATGTAAAACCACATCTATACACACATCCACACACTCCAATCACATCAGAACACCCACATTTGCCACACACACACAGACACACGCACACACAATCACACACACGCACGTTCCCCACACACATGCACACACACATTTACTCAGCAACGTGGAATCATTGGAATGAATTCCACCAGCTCCTCGCTTTGCTCCGAGTGTCGCTGAACCATGGATGGCTGTTGGCATTCTCCAGGCCGGATCAAGCTGTGGCGGGGTGACAGACTGGCGATCTAGAGGAGCTCTCTTCCAACAGCAGTTGTTCAATAATTGTAACTGATATCATGTATGCAATGCCACAGGCAAAGAAATAAGAACAACGAAACCAAAACCTGGCAAAGCACCACTTCTCATTGATGAACCCTTATGAATCATCCCTTTGTTTTTGTTCAAGCCTTCGCCATGCCCCGCTCCCACCCCGCCCAGGCGCGCCGGCCGGCCACAGAAACGACCGCCTGCCGCCGCGGTGCGGCGAGCCCCAGAGGTGGGGAGAGCTGGGTGAGTGGAGTCTGAGAGTCAAAGGAAGACGACTTTCCTCTAGAAACCAGGAGTCACTCAGAAGGTGTTTGTTTTATTTTTCAAACTTTATGTGATGTTTCATCCGAGTCACCACCTGATGGAAGTGGATGGCACCACCTGATTGGTCTTCACATGGAACCAGAGGTCAAGTCTCAGGGGACGTCTGCAAGATCGTCTGCAGGGACGAAAAGGACAGACCGGACGAAAGGACGAAAGGTCTGCGGGGCTTGGGATGTGGCCTGGGGTTCGGCGGGTGAGGGCAGTGAAGACATTTGCAGGGATGTTTAGGGGGTGCCACTGTGCCACATACATGCTTGGCATCGCCTGAGAAAGAGCAGATATGAGCAGATGATACACTCCTTGGCATCATCATGGGTGAGTGGAAAGCCATCACCACGTTTGACATTCGGATTTTCATCGTCGTCCGAGTCTCCAGTGCCTGGACCGTTCTCCACTTCCACCATCCATGATGATTCCAGGGAGTGTGCCCCGGGGCTCCTGGCTCACTGTGCTCAGAAGATAGGGATAGAATAGACCCGGCCCCCCAGTCACCAGTCCCACCTTCGACTTCGGATGTGATGCCAGGTTAAACTGCCGCGGGCGTTTTTGCAGTTTGCCACCCAAACTCGGGAGTTTGACGATTCTTGAGGAAGTGTTGGCATCGGAGCTGGTTTCTGTGCGGATCTTTTTTTTGGTTACGACTCACGACTCTTTTTCTGGCATACCGGGCAAACCTTCCGTAGGAAAACGCCCCAAGCATTGGCCAATGAAGGCCTTGGAGCTCTCAGAGAGCGCGGATCATCACGCTCTTGGCGCGGGCTGTTGAGCGTGGCTGGTGGCCCTAGCAGATAGTTCCCCCAAGCGCCGAACGGTGGGCGTTGGTACACACATAGAATAGATGGAGAAGCCAAAGTTGTCACATATCATTGCTGCCTTTAAAGGATCACATGGTAGTTTCTATGTAGTGTCAAATCTTAATCGATAAATCATGAGAAATCCTCACGTAGGGAGTGACCACCAAGAGAACCCAATGCAGGAAGGCCACTTTGTGTCCAAGCAGACTCACTCTATTTAGCGGGAGACTTTGCATCGCATCGATGTGAGGGCGATGTGGGGGAAGTCAGCCACAGACATGAAGCAAATCCAGTGCTTAATATAGTATATACGGAACATCCCAGGAACATCAGGTTCAGTTACATAATATAATATTAAGATTGTCATTATTTTACTTTACGCATCTTTACGCTGTTATATTTGGACATGTTTCTCCTACTTTCTAACCTCGTACGGTACACAATGAATGGCCCCTCAGGCAGCCCATGGCCTTTGTGCCGCCACCGTGCGCCGTGGATATCCTCGTGGCCGAGGCGGATCAGGTTTGGTGTGGCTTTATGCACAAGAAGCTCAATCTGAAATCACTATATATAATTCGCAAAGAGATGCACTTGTCCATTCATTGTCGAACATTTTAAGAAAAATATATATATATATATATTCTGTATTCCGGCCTTTTACTCTTTGTTGCTAACCAGTTTTGGGACGTTCTGGCCATCATCCACTAAAACTCAGAATTGCATAGATCATGGCTCTGTTTGCGCCTCTCGTGCCTGAGCCGACGTTTGATTTCCAGCTGTTTCAGCGATCCTGCAGAGTTCAGAGCCCCGAAACTTGTTCCCAAGTCCTCCAAGGAATCCGATACTACCTGGAGCCTCAGAGAGTGCTTTTGTTAAATGGGTACCAGGACAAGCACCTGTTTTCATAGGATCATTGTACCATTGTACCATGTTTCTAGGGTACGAACTGGCGGGTCCCGGTATACACGCTTGTTGTTTGATCTCTTTTGGGCCATCCACTGGGCTCCAGTTGCCATTTGCCACCATTTTGGAGGAAGCTCCCAGCAGGCGGAGGAGGCGGAGGGCGGAAGACTTGACCAAACCGTACTCGTAGGTAGCAGCAAATTTGCTGAGTGAAACAAATGTATGAATCATGAACTGAGGTGTTTAGGATGTTGTAACGACTTTGTTGAGTCATGTGTATAAGATTCTTGGGCTTTGTCTCCCGACATTGAGCCAACATTTACAATCTGATGTGTCCAGTATCCTACCAGTTTCATCGTTAAGAACTCTTGGAGGGCGAAGACTGAAAGCGAAAGTGCTGAAAAAAAAACCTAGAATCGGACCGATAAGGCAAAGCAAATATTAGACCTATAAGGACCTATAAGGCAAGGCAAGTGAAATCCGACTTGTTTTCCAGACGATTTTGATGGAACCCGTTTGGAACTCCAGACTCTTCGGCCGTGCTTCGGGCTAGAGGCCTTCCGCTACTTGGGGCCCCGCTTGGCTGAAGGCTTCGACAGCATCGGCCAGGTGGAGCCTGAGAGGGGCTGGGATTTTCAGACTTGGAGGGGTTGGAATTTCGATGAAATAAGATCATTGCCTATAGGTCGCACTTTTTGGGAGTACACGTTTGCTGATTTTTTTCTGTTTGCACATGAAAGGTTGCAATTGAAGCTGCAGGCATGTGCTGCTACAGTTTCAGAGCTTCGACGGCACCCCCAAGATGTCTTAGACAGATGGTGGTCCAGAATTGCGACATTGGGGATTGTGCCATTTGCTCTCAATCTGCCAAAGACGCGTGATTGATAACCCCATCCATTTGGATGCAAGCAAAAATCCATACCATACCGTATTTTCTAAATGATCAATCAAGAGTCTACATTAGGTTGGCAGGGGAGATTTTTGATCACCTTGTCTACATTATAGATATGATATTTATATGTGTTTTTTTTTGTTTAATATTATATCTTGTGAATTGAGCTGGCACAAGGTCCACAACCATCCACAACCCCCCTTGGATGATATGTGTTTTTAGCATGTGCATGGATCGATGACTTTTGCTTCTTACTTGTTAACTTTTCTATGCTGTCCCAAGGAGTACAACGAAGGCCTTTGTCGGGCATTCCTCGAAGAGGCGCAAAAGACTTTGCTGGCGTCAGCGTGGTCAGCGAGGGACAGCGTGAGTCTTCCGAAGCAAGATGTTTGACCGATGTAGTGCAAGTTCTTCTGTGGAGGGAGGCCGGCCCCAATGACCCGATCTAACATGGTCTAACAACTTCCACATGTCTTTACATGTCATCCACATGTCAGGCATATACCGCCTTTAATACCGTGACTCACCATGTCTCTTTGAAACATCTGCACAGCGACGCCAACGCAGGCAGCCCGAGTGGTGGACCGGATGCTCTCCAGCCGTGGACCGGGGCCCCTAACCGTCGATCCGAAGAGCTGGGCGCGGCGCCTTCCCGGGCGAGACGTTCCTCGAAGGGTGGTGGGACTGCAGATTTGAGCAGAGTGTGCTCTCAGGGCCTGTCAGGGTCCCAGTCGTTTTTCGAGTGCATCATAGTTTGACAGAGTGGCGCTGTGTCCGGCACCCGAGGTCCAGCAGTGAGAAAAGCCATGCTGGATGGCCTTGTGGATTTACGACCACCAGGCTGTGGGTTCCCATGGCTTCCCGCTGGGCGGATGTGAGGTTGGATGGGTCCCCTCCGTGGAAAACATGGCCGCTTGGACTCTTGGAACTGACCGTTTTCCTGTTGGCTTTCCACTTCCTTGATTGCTTCAGGGAGGGTATATTGCTCACTGTTCACCACTTTTTGTGGGTGCTCTGGAAGCCATCCTCAGTGGGCATCTCTCAGAAACGTTAATGGCATATGGCGGGGTCTCAGCTTTTTCTGGCCCTGGATGGATCCCATGTAGGGAACAGCTGGGAGCAGCGTTCAGCGACTTCCCTTTGCCCTTTCCACCGATCGGCCGGAGAAACTGCCAGGCAGCCGTGAGAGCCCACCACGCACGCGGCGCAAGAGGATCCATCAGGCGCAGGGTGAAGGGGCCGCGGGGGGGCAGCAGCCAACAACACTTCCGAGGACCTTCCGATGGGATCAGTGGAACAGTATTTCCCTGCATGACTTGTTGACCTGTTTCATTTTCCTCGCACATGTTTCTCTGCGACCCCTCGCAGAGACGGAGACCTTGCATTCCGATTTTGGGACCTTCCAACCTGCGAGGCCTTGCTCAACCTTTGCCGCTATCTGCTGGACGATGAGCAACGTCTGAAGGACTTGGCTTCTCAGGTGGGGCGGGTGAACAGGGGTAGATGTGGGGGTCAGGATGGTGGAGGTATACAGTAGACTACTAGAAGACTGAACCTTTCTAAAGACTCTATGCATGGATTGTATGGAAGGGTCATGAAGGGTCCATGTGTAGGCTTTACTATAGTCCATTTATTGTCCATATGTATATCATTCATGCATATTTTCTCTCAACGGCTGTGGCATGCCCAATTTCCTTTTCGAAAAGATCGCAGCGTTCCGCGGACGTTTCAGCTTCAAGCTCTTTCCCGTGTCGATTGCCAAATCGTGCGTCGTTGATTTAGTCTCGCTTGCGGTATCCATATTGACGGATGCCCCGCTACACCCTGGATTTGGAGGGACTGGAGTCGGTGCTGTCGGCCGAACAAGTAGTGGACACTCGGATTTCACGGCCGCCACGTCAGGGGCGGCTTGAGGAGTCATGGATTCTCGAAGTTGAGGGAACCTCTTCCTGCTTGCTACCAGGATGAGGATGGCGGCTTGAGGGTTTTCTCCAACTCCAGCAGTTCTGCTAGTTGCTGCAAGCTGGATCAGCTGGACACACCAACATAACATGGACAGGAAGCAAGTGATGAACATGAATGCGTTGGTTATCTACCTTGACCCCCCAAACCCAAAAATCGGGCGTTTGTCCCAGACAGGTCATCGTTGAACATGTTCGTTTTTACACGGGCCGAATCAGTGCGGCCGAATGTGTTCACGGGAGCCGAATCGGCTCTTGTATGTTCAAACTCCCCAGCTAAAGAGAACTTTCCATGAAAGTTTGCCTGCTGTTTTGCTCCCCATTTCATGATAGAAGGAAGTGGTGGTCAGCAGTAGCAGTTCATTACTGCAGATTTGGGGTGTGTGACTTAGCTGGTTTATCAGCTCCACAGCAGACGACCCAAGGACTTGTTGAAGGAGCACGCCTGGAACCTCAGAACCAGACAGCGTCGATCATCGGCTTGGCCTGGTAGACCACCCAAGCTTTGGTGACGAACACGGTGATGAGCATTGGCGCATATTGGCGCCATGTAGCTGTGTGGATATTTATGTGCAAAGGAGCAACTGACAAAATGATTGCTAGACTTATTTCGTCGCCGCATGACCCCCACCTGATGCTGAATCTATTTCCCTTTGAAGGTTCTGACCCTCATTTAGGGGGATTGCCTCTAATGGTACCGAAGCAGGGTTCTCATCGTTTCTTCGTTCAACCTCGGGCGACCTTGTGGGATTTGAATGACCCCAGAAGACAACGAGTGATGGGAACTTTGCTTTGTTGCAGGATTCATTACTTACCTTTGATTACCCTCCTAATAGCCTCATGAGGGGTGTTGCTTCACATTCATGACTGAGATTTCCAGGCACCAAATGTTGCTCAATCTTTGTCAGCATGCGATCATGATGATGGAAGGTTCACCTCTTGATAGAATCCTACTTGATTGGGGTGAAGCTGCCATGGGCGTTGCAGCCTTCGCTTGCTTCATGATTTGTTTCTGTTCCAGGTTCGAGGGGGACAGTTACCAGGCTTAGGGGTTAGAAGCTCTCAAATGTTCATTTTAGTGACTCAGTCATCAGAGTCATCAGAGAGCTCCTGGCTTAGTCATCAGCTTAGTCATCTCTAGCGTTAGAAGCTCTACATGTGACTTAGTCATCAGAGACACCTCATGATCATGCGAATGATGCCCTTTGGTCATGTCATGATCCAGGCACCTGGCTTTTCACCTGCCGTGGCTCAGGTGGACTTGTCCAGGCTTGGCGTCAGCGAAGAGTTCGCCCAGACCCTCCAAGCAGTCTATGAGGAGTCGCGGAGTCGGCAGTGGAGTTGATTTTAAGGGACGGTTGAAGAAAGATGTTCAGGGGCTGTGAACTTCAGTGCGAAGTGGTCGAAGTGCCGAATCTTAACATAATATGCTTGAGGAGGCGTATACTTTTTGGGGTGCATTAAATTATAGCATTTAGCTCCCACCTGATGGCTTTTCTGTCAGTGGTTTTACCATGCACGCCATCCCAACCACAGAGAGAGGTAGAGACCTCAGTGTGAGAAATACAAGACCGGCCCCGTCCACGAAGCGAAAAGAACCCGCGCACGTCGGTCGCCCGAACCAAAGAAAACATATAGAAAACAGCACCGTGTCGCGTGTGTGTGCGTCCGGTGCCGAGGTTTGGAGGGCAACATGTGGGTCAAGACCTGCTGGACTGCATTTTCGACTGCAGCTGCTGCGTGATGGTGCCCGGGCCGAGAACTCGGAAGCCCGTTCGGACCGAGTTCGGACCGGTGAGGGACCGGGAAGGACCGAGAAAAGCGCGAGGAAGGATGGCATGGGCGAAAATGGAGGGGTGGACGTTGGGTGGAGCTTGAGGAATCATGTATGTTCATGTGCTGGAAGGCTTTTTGAAGCCTGAAAACCTGCAGCCGTGGTTGTCTCCGGATGTGGAACAGTTATTTTGCGTGGCACGGGCACGTGAGTTCTTTCAAAGAGCGGCCCATTCAGTGACTGGGAGCAAATTGGAATTCTTAGGTAAGTCACTGAATGGGGGCCCAACTCTTCGCATGTACTTGAGGGCCAAGTCCTGTGACCCGATCCTCGATCATCGTCGCTGCCATCGCCGTTTTCGTCGCTGCGCGTGCCCTCACGGAGGCGTGGGAGATGACGTGTGCTGACACGTGTAGCCGGGCGATGGCCGGCAGCGGTGGCGGTGACAAGAAGAAGAAGGAGAAGGAAAGCTTGGTCCAGGTGCCTCAGCAGGAGACCGTGGTTTGGAGTGATGTGAAAGACCTTCCCCAAAGCTTGACCTCCAAAATGATGCCACGTCACGTGGTGTTGTGTTTTACTTTTTTTAATCACCATTTCCTCGCACTTTCTTCACTTGCATGCAGGTACTGAATTACATATTCCTTCATAATATATATATAATATCTATAATATATATATATATACATATTTATATTTATATATATATATAAGATCAATCAGTTCCGGTGTGGGTTTGTGTAGTTCTCAGATGGTACAGGATTTCTTGTGTTTTTGTTTTTTTTGTTCACATTTGGGTCGGGTGATGGTGGATGTAGTTGGACGGGGTCAAAGAGTGCGTGCCTCCACAGGAGATGATGCCCGAGAGTTGGCCAACGGGAAGCTGGCTGCAACAGTTGCGTGAGCTGAGCGCTGAGGATTTGCAGATGGGGATGAGGAGCTCGAAATCCTTCATCAATATGGAGACTTGGATCCTCAAGTCCAGACGGAGATATTGTTCCTTAGGTCCTTCCTTCCTCTCAGCCTTGAATACTATATTGGTTATAAGTTATACATTTATAATATGTTTGTTTGTATGTCCTTTTTGAGTCCGACAGCAGACCAAGCAGATCAATGCATCGTCCTGCGGCGGTTCTAAGGAGAAGTTTGCCAAGTTCATTTTTGAGACACTCAGAGAGTCCAGTCGGGTCCGATATCAGGGTGTCATGATCTCACGGTATCTCACGCTGAGAGGTGATGTCATAGCTGATCTATGCTCATCAGTCTGACACTTATTTATGTATATACACTGGTAGTAGAAGGAGGAACCAAAAAACAAGATGATTCAAGATGATTTTTAGATGGTAGTCCATTTAAACCACGGACCTTGGGGATTGTGCCATCTCCTCTCACCCCACCCCAAAAAGATTCTTTGGGAATTCGCCTTGGAAGGCCTGCATGGACATCCCGAGTCGCACGCACAGCGTGCCTGAAACTTGTGCAGTGGTAGCTACAGATGCGACCCCGCACGACGAATTTCATGTTCTCAGGGCCCAGAGCTCGGGTGACGTTGCACAAGACAGTTCCAACAAGAACTGAAAACGTTTGTGCGGCATTTGTGGTTGAGCCAAATGAGTTCACCGCACAAACAAAGGAAGAAATTTGGGAAGGACCAGGTCAAGCAGTTCGAGATGTGCGCGTGGCTGGGATCGTTTCATTGGGCTTTGCTTGGGAGATGCTGCTGAGTCAAAGGTTTTTGGAGTCGACATCGTTTGACCTGGATGTGGTGAGGTGTGAGTTTTGCCCTTCCAATGAAGGTCTTTCACTTCCTTATGGGGAACTTTGCCAAGTCAGGTGAGTTCGGCCAGTCTAACTTCAAATCACTCTAGATGGTTGACGGTCGGATTCCCGCATTTTTCCCAGGGCAATGTGCATTGGACAATGAATATGGAGAGAAAGGTGAAGATCTTCAGACTATATAGATGTTCCCAGTCCATTGACTCCTGAAGCACCAAATCAACTTGGCCTGGCTGTAGGGAGGGAAGTTATGCCGGACCTCCTTTTCCATGCCACCCTGCACAACATGTGTTTTTGGAGTTTGTTGGAGGGGACAATTGCAACAGACTGATAGGAGAGTTGCATGTGTCGTAAGGTGAAGCTTTTTGGCATCAATAGAAGTCCAAACTGTTCCAAACTTCATCTTCAACGCTCGAAAATGCTTCTAAGACATACGGTGCATGAATAGTATGTATATAATGTATAGAACCGAGAGCCCCCCCCACATAGTAGCAGTCTCGACCAACATCAACGCCCCCGGTCGCGCCGCTGGTGGAGTTCTCCCTCCGCAAATGCTGACACCGGCGGATGGCGCCGAGGGAGCAAATGAAGAGCGAAGGGCCAAAGATCGTGGAGAAGGACAAGCTGGACATTGATGATTTGCTGGCGAAGCTCCTGGATTTCAGAATGAATGTTTAAAATATGAAGATCTCACGTGAGAAACAACATGAAACATCATGATTCCATGTTGGTTCATTCAATTTGACATATTTAGTCAGTTTGATTCAAGTCCGAGGTCCAAGAAGGCCGACTTCAAGTCCTTCATCAAGTTGATCCGTGTGGTGACCGCTGCGGCCATGGCCAAGCATGGCGCCGCCATCCAAGAGAAGGGCCTAGAGACTCGGACGGCTTACCGTTTCAACGGTTCGGGGGTTCGGATGGAACGGGAAGCAGCTGAACGTTTAAGAGCTATAATTATATACCAATTCATCA